TTAAAATTATATCACACGAGTGCTTATAAGATCAAAGTCAATATGTTAAAATAATTAAGGAAGACAATATCATTAATAAATGTTTTAATATTTATCAGTTCAATTATTAAATTACATAATATTATCTTAATAACTTTATTAATTGATTATGTATCTCTAATTCTAGATAATTCTAATTTTTTTAAATATATAATTTAACAGTAAAATTTTAATTATTTTTAAATATATATATTAAAATAAAATTATTTGATAATATATCAATTAACTTTTAAATTATATGAAATTTGATCAAATTAATCTACTTCATAAAACTTTTTCATATAAAAATTATATTGATAATATTATATATATATATATATATATATAAAGAGTTAATAAAAATATTCTTTTATTAAATTTAACACCTACTATTAGTTAATTATATGTAATTAACTAATAAATTATATGTAAGATAATATCGAGACCCACACTTTTATATACAGAGAGATAAAAATCTTACTTTTATATATGTAATTATCATTTGTATGATTCACACTGTACTTTAATAATCTTCAGGTTCTTCCTCATTTGATTATATAAAGATTTAACAATTTCCATTGTGGTACATATATAATATGGTTGTAATTTTTTAAATTTATGATACACGTGTGCAGATAAAATTTTGTTATGAAATATTTAAAATTGTATGCTTATTGCGTACAATATCATCAAACTCTTTTATTGGTATCATACACACCATTAAAGAGCAATGAAGAAAAGTTAAGAATTATTTGTAAGCAAAATTATGATAAATTATATATTAATTTTGTCCTAGAATTTTAAAAAATAATAATAATCTCCTCAACTTTCCTTATTCTCAATTCTCTTCACTTGGCTTAAGTTGAACACGTTAATTTTTTTAATTAATTTTAGCGTTTATTTATTTTATACATTACTTTCTTAAAATAATAACTTGCCGACAAAGAGCCCATTTGAAAAGACATCTTAATTAAACATATATTTAATAATTTTTTTAAAATGTTAAACATTATTTTAAGCTATATTAAAAAAATTATTGAAATAAACTATAAAATTATGAATTGTTTTTATAAACTCTTTCAAATACTCTAAAATTTTATAATATATTCTACAAGAACGTGAATTTAAATACTAATGTCGATGTGAACACTTTATTAGTGACTAATTTATAAATACTTGTGTAAATATATTTTCAACCTTAAGACATGTTTTGTTTCTAATAAGTTCTTGAAATTCAATTCACTTAAATTATATATAAAAAAAATTAAACAATTTCATACAACATTTATATCAGAATTGATTTCCAACGTTAGAATGTGGCTATTTGAGAAAAGATGTACCCACAATAAATATTGAAGTTAGGTTAATATAATTTTACTGAATATCTACAATAGTTTATTTATCATTATAGATATCACATCTTAAACAGGTATCTTCAGCTTAATTGATGATGAATATATATTTTGAGTAAGATATGAAGAATTTTAATACGTAATTCCAATTGCATTTAACTGATGTAAAGGTCATCTTTCATATTCTCCATTTGAGAAGTTTGTAACAAACACACAATGCACAATTTGTAGTTGTCTGCAACTAGTTTTTTTTTATAGCTTGTCTATAACTTGTGTATTTTCAACCACTCTTAACAATATTTTGTATCTTTATATTCTATTAGTAAATAGGGACCCTTTCAAGTTGAATGAGCCTAGGATTTTGGTAAAAATAGGCAACTATTTTTGTCAGAATAATGGACATGTTCAATGTTACCAAAGATGCTTCAAACCTTTACAGCGATGAAAGAAGGAAAGGAACAATAAATGTTCAGAATTTTTCAATTTAGTTTATTAAAAATGTAAGTATTATTTGTTATAAAAATATAATAGCTATTTCTATCAAAATAATATTTTATTATTTATATTTGTTTAAAATTAATCTTAAAAATTGATAATGACGTATTCATTTGGATTTTGATTAAATTTATTTTAAAATAATTAATTAATTTGGCTAGAATGGTTACACTCCATGTAAAGTTTTTGGCCTGTGCACCTTGCATTGTTTGATATTTATGTGTATCTTTATTAGAGAAGAGAGTATTTAATCATATAAAAAAATACAATTTATAAATATTTTATAAACTTTAATTTTATTGAATTATTTTTCAAATTATACCTGTCTTACAAATAATTTCTTAAATTAATTTAGAGTTAAATTACTAATAAAAAATTAGACATTAGCTTGCGTTAAATCTCAATATGATTATAATTAATTTTTTACGCATAAAGATACAACGAAAATTTTGAATTTAGAAAAAAAAAAATAAAAGCGAAAGTAATAAAAAATAAAGAGTATATATATTATTGTAATAATAGTATAATGGTAATTATTATATAATGGCATGTAATATATAATGTGATAGTTGAGATTCTTTTACGAGGCTGGAAAATTGAGATGATTGAAAATTTATTTCGTTGCTAATATAATTCTTAATTTTCATAAAGATCTGTTTAGAAAAAAGATAAAGCTTAGCGATTGATTGGAAAAAATCAATAAAATTTAAAAATTAATTAAAACAAAATAAAAGTTTAAACTGATTAATTATAAAAACAATAAAATTTAAGGATCGAATGAGATAAAATTAAAATTTAAGTCTGTTTCTTAGAAAGTTAAGGTGTAAGAGATGCTAAATATATGTTTTCTTTTTATTATATTGTTTTTCAGTAATATAATTAAAAATACACGTTACAAGGTAGCATTTTTATATTTTTATAGTAAAACAATCTTGATATATATATATATATATATATATATATATATATATACTTTTTATATTTATTGAGTATTTTTATTAAAATACAATGCTTTGTCAGATTGTGTAGGACTATAATTTAAATAAACAAAGCAGCACTCCGTCACGAATTTTTCAATTTAAAAATGTGACGATGAAGAATAAAGGATCGAATCCAACTAATTAAATTAATAAAATCGGGGCCAGCCACCTTATACAAAGCATAAAGTATTACAATTAATAAAAAGAATTTATTAATTTATTATTGTCATTTTTAAATAAAATTTATTTTTTATTTTTATTTCTTAATGTGTATTAAGTCCTTCGTTGAATAACAATAAATATTAAAAATATTTAAAACAAAAAAAGACATATTATATCTACTAATATGATATATCTTTTAAAAGATATTTTTTTAATTTAATTTTCTAAGCAAGTATATTATGTCCTTAAATAATAAAAATTAGTAAGCTACTAATTAATTATTTTGGTATATTAAAGAATGGTAAGTTAAAAAGATAGGATTTTTAAATTTATTTAAAATTAAAAATAATTAATTAAAATCAAGACACCTTAAAGCCTCATTTTAAAATAACTATAGATAAAGTCTATTTTTTTTAATTTACTTTATACATTCTTTCCCTTTAGATAAATTAACTCTATCAAATTTATGGGTAGCACTTTTTTTTATTAAATAACGATAAATTAAATAGAAAAGCTACTGGTTTGATAAACATGTATACTATGTATCAAAATAGATAAAAGCTTGATAAAATTATAATTTTTAAAATAATATTTTATCATATAATGCCAAAAAAAAGATTTAAATTAAATATCAATAATTAATTATAAGACTTTTAAAATTTAATTTTAAATTAAAAAACTAAAATTATGTACGTACAATAAAACATACACGTATGAGATGTTTAGGAAAAAAAAATACACGTATGAACTTATTTGCATCTTCAAAATAACTTCTAAAAATTACAAAATAAAATATTATAAATTTGTTAATCTATGATACTTCAAGAAATCAAATAAAAAATTAAACATTAGAAGATCAAGTAAGAAAATATAAACCTTTTTAAAATTGTAAATATGAAACATTATAATACATTATAAAGATTGAAAGATATGGAAATTAAAAATTTTGTATGATTATAAAATCAATTAAATGCAACACAGTAATAAAAATTTATCAAATTATGATATATATGTAGATAAAAATGTAATATACATACATACAATATTGTGTTAAAAATTAAAAATGGTAGAAATACACTATTTTATATATGAAATAGCATGATAGACAGAAGAGTGAAAGACAATCAAATGTTAAAATTAAGATTGTTATAATTAACTGAAGTAAGGGCTCATACAAAATATTTAAGTTAAAGATATAAAATATTTAAGATTACAAATAAAATTATAAAATTATAAAATACAAATATAAATATTATTTTAAAATACATTTAATATTGTTTTATATTCTTAAGTGATCATAAATATTTTGATATATCTTAAATTGTTAAAAGATATATAATAAAATATTGATGTAGTATTTAATAATAGACAAAATTTAGAAATAATTTCTTAAATGTTTTTAATTAAAGTTAAAGTTCAACTGGAATAATTTATGACAATGTTAAATATATATTTTCATTAATTAAAAAAGTCTAATAAATTGGTTAAAAGTTTAATGTAAATTGATCTTACCTCTTTATTAGAGCAAGTTTCGAACAAAAAACCATTGGCTCATGTGACTTGGTCTCTCCTATAGTTTCCTCAGCTGCGCCCACAGTCCCAACACCAAATCCAGAAACCGGTCTTCGGTTTTCTCCAAAACCGCTTTTTATTCCCAAAAACCAGGAGTTTTTTTTTTTACGATTATTTTCATTCAAAACCACTGCTTGTGGACCCTACCTCCCCAATATGTGGCGATTCGACCGCACTCTGAAATCTGAGCGTGCATGACACGCTCCTTCTCATGGAATTGAATTACTTGCTACAAAATTTGTAAGAAGGCAATTGGCATAAGAAAACGTGGCACGGGTGCGCTGCAACTCATGGAAAGGGTGTGAAACTCACGCGCATGAAATGACGGTGGGTTTAGTCGCCCCCACAGAAAAGGGAAACGGATTCATAGCTTAGCTTGAAACTAGAAAGTGGTTCGAAGTTCCAACCTCCTTGAATGTGAAAACCCAGCAGCGCCCAACAACTATAAAGTTCTCTCTTTCTCACTTGTTTAGAAACTCTCAATTGTGTTTTCGACCTAAGAGATAGACAGAGAGAAAAAACTGAGATTGTTTCAAAATGCGAATGAGTTGCAATGGTTGTCGTGTTTTGCGCAAAGGTTGTAGCGAAGATTGTAGCATAAGACCGTGTTTGCAATGGATTAAAAATCCAGAATCGCAAGCTAATGCAACTGTGTTTCTTGCCAAGTTCTATGGCCGTGCTGGCCTCATGAACCTCATCAACGCTGCTCCTCAACACCATCGTCCAGGTTCTTATTTCCTTCTCTTAAACATTTATTTCTTAAAAATCAGACAAAATTAAAATTTTAGTTACTTAAACACGCATAGTTGTTTAATTTAGCTTATCTTAAATAAGTGATTATTTTTTAACAGAATTTTTCAAAAATAAGTGGTTAATTTTGTGAAAAAGTGCTTTTAAGACATGTATGGCTTATTCCTACAAAACGATTATTATTTTTATTGATTGTGTTTTGGTTTTTTTTTTTTTTTTCTTTTTCAGCGATTTTTCGATCGTTGTTATACGAGGCATGCGGTCGAATTGTGAACCCCATTTATGGTTCTGTGGGTTTGTTATGGTCCGGGAGCTGGCAGCTCTGTCAAGCCGCCGTGGAAGCCGTTTTGAAAGGGGAGCCGATCACGCCGATTACTTCAGAAGCCGCAGCAAATGGACGGGGCCCACCTCTGAAGGCCTACGACATACGCCACGTGTCAAAAGACGAGAATTCAACCGGCTTGAATGAAGCCACTCAGCGAGCCAAGTCTCGGCCCCGGCTTAAGCGAACTGGCACCACCGTCGTCAAGCCAAAGACCCTTAAAGGAGCTCGGACCGGTCTGGATGAACTGGAAACGGCGAACCGAACCACGAGCCACGGGTCGTCCCTGAGCCACGTGGCAGAGGGAGAGAGCAAGGAGAGTGAGAGTGTTGTGTCAGTGGAGACATCGATCCTATTTCATGACGAACCAGAGTCAACTGTGAAAGCGCGTGACCAAGCCGATGAGAGTGGTTCGGAGATTGGTTTGGAATTGACACTTGGGTTCGAACCGGTGTCACGTGATGATCACGTGGTTCCTTTAAAGAAGAGAAGGATTGAGTTGATGAGTTGCTGTGGCTCAGCGGAAAATGGCTCGTGCAAGACGGAGTTGGGGCTTGAATACTCGGCTTGAACGGCTTGCTTGGTTTTGACTTAATTGGCTTCTATTGAGACTTGTAGATGAGATGAGAAGTTTAGAGAACCGCAATTAAGCTTTTTTAGTTTAATTTTTCAACTTTTTTTTCTTTGTTGGGTTAACCCTTTGTGAATGGGTGTTGTACAAATGTGGCTGCTATGTAGAGGAAAAAAGAAATTAGAAATATAGAAATATATTTATTGCAGGGAAAGTTATTTCTATTCTGTGTGGTGTCACTGAAGATGAAAATTGTAAGATAATAATTAATATTTTTATTTTAATAATTTTAAAAAATCTGAATCAGATTCGCTGGGTATTTATCAATGCGTGTGTCTAGTAGCTTTTGATATTAAAGCTGTACGTAGGTATGTCACTTCTTAACATCAGAATTAATGGATGTCCGCGGCATGGGTCGGTGTCCACGGAAGCCATGTCATGTAATCTATTGTTAAAAATATTTCAAATTTATAAATTTTTATTTTATCTTTTTACTTTTTACTTTTGAATTATAAATACTCTAATAAAAAATAATCGTCTACCTAGTAAATATGATTAGCCAACATCACATGCAAATTTATTTAAATAATATTATTTTAAAAATAAATTCTTAAATTAAAGTTTTTTAAATATATTTCTTATCTGATATGAATTTTAGCCAAATTATCTGTATTGTACTTGCATGTACGATAAGTTATTTTTTTAATTTTTTAACACATTATTGGTGGTGTCTAACTAACATTTTACTAGAGGTAGACATGTGTCAAAATTAGAATTGTATTGTTTATTTTTAAATGATAGGCAAGTTATTGGTCAAAGAGCAACTCTATTAATTACCAAGTAGCGATACACATGTATAAATGACACGTGTCAAATGAATAGGTGTATCGGTTAGTTTTAAATAATTGTCAATTCGCTGGTGAAGCTGCATCAACATTATTGGCCTATAGAGCGCGATAACAAGTGAAAACTTAACACGTCTTAATAATTGCTGGTTATATAAATGATGCATTGAAAAATCTATGTAACTGTGGTAATATATATATATATATTTTGTACTCTTCACATTTGCCTTACATTGCTAAAGGAAGAAAAAGCCTTTGGAGGAAGAATAATTTTTGGAGAGCCCAAGTTAGTTTTGTCAGTAATTATGTTATTTATTTGTTATAAATTTTGATTATTTTTGGTTTAGATAAAATTTTATATTTGTTATTTTTATAAAAATAATTTTTTTATTTAGTAGTTAAAATAAAATTGTATAATGTTATAGAAATTTTATTATTAGAGAAAATAATCTATATAAACAATATTAAGATTTTATTTCAATATGACTGTAATATTTTATTATGTATTAATAATTTAAATATTTGTATATATTATTGAAAAAATTTAAAAGCTATGAGAAGAAATGTTAAAATGATGTAAAATAATTTAACAGAGGTGATAAAATTATTTTGAAATTAAATTATTATAAAAAAATGCCTGATTTGAGTAAAAATTTATAATCTTTATAAAATAAAATTTGGTATATAAAATTATGTTTATTAAAATTTATTATAAACTATTGTGATAGGTTACGTTGTTTTTTATGCAAAAAATTTAAATAATTTAATGTTTAGTTTATGTTGATATTTAAATATAATTATACTAATTTTATTATGTTAAAAAATTACAGAAAAAAATTTAAATATATATCAATGCAATATTATTTAATCTTGCATGGTAGGGTCTTAAAATTCGGTATGTATAGTAAAAATTATGTTACTTTGTCTATTTTATAAAATAAATATTGTAAATAAAAATATTTCTATTATAATAGAGGTCAAAATTGTGTATAATTATAAACTCACGTAATTTCAATTTTTTTAAACAAATGTTATCAATATAAAATCTATATTAGTCTATAATAACTTAAAAATTCAATTTTTTTTAACTTTATATAAATATAATTTAAATAAGTTACATAGATTTTCTATCCTTAAAAAAATTATTTATCGTAATTATTATTTTTAACTATATTACATTTTTATTATTTTAAATATACATATATTTCATTTAAATTATATTTTAAATTTCCTTTTCATATTGTCATTAAGAATGAATTTATTTATAATTTTAATTTTTTTAAATTCTATTATTTCTAATTTATTAGTAACAAATTTTAAATATTGTTTACTATTTATTAAATTTGTTTCCATGAAATTTTGATTTATTTTACTCAAAATTATTCTACATTTTAAACATGTTTCATAAAATTATACTTTCTATACCTTTAATTTACCCTTCTAATTAATCTTAACAAGTGATGAAATTTTTTACTAATTTTATTTAATTTATCATGTTTTATTATGCAATTTTAATTTCTTAATTTAACTCATTATCTATTTTTCTTCTCAGCCAATTTAATATATTATTATGTTGTAATTATAGATTACTTTAATTTCAATTTACTATTTTATAAAAACACTCAACTAAAAATTTATTTTATTCACAATTAAAAAATATTAATCTATTTTTATTGACTTTACTAAATATTTTACACAAAATTTATAATTTTTTCACAACTGCACTTAAATGTAAATATATTATAAATTTTTTCAATTTAATGCTAAACTTCAGAATTAAATATAACAACAATTAATCAACTTCTAAATCTATTTTTTTAAGAAAAAATATAATTCAAATATTATATTTTCAATTAATTTTACATTAAATTATGCAAAAAAATATAAACATTAAAATAAATTACAAAAAAATTATACACGAAATTTTTATCCTTCACTAACCGCTTTTTCCGTTGAAATGGAGTTCAACTTCTATATTATCCGATACCAGAATCTGCAAATATTCAAAATATAACAAACTTATTTTTTTACAAATAAAATAAACATATTTATTGAAAATTTTATTTTTATCTTTGAATTTCGTTTAGAAAAATATTGTAAAATCAACAAATTATTCTCCGAAATTTGACACCAGTAATAGAAAAAATGCTTCTGGCCAGCGTTAATGGAAGATGAAGCGCAAGGACAGGAAGAAGAAGGCTTCTGTGTCACCAGTATCAACCATGTCATGTGTCACAATCAGAAGCATTATCGTCACTGATGCATCGATAGGCTAATCGACAGGCAGACTTTAACACGTATTTCCATTCTCCCTAGTTGTTGATTTTAAAAAAGGCTATCGTCGCTATTGGGACTATATAGATGATGATAAGACACGTGACAATTATCGTCCTTGTTTGTCCGATACAAGTAAAAAAAAAAATTTATTTTTTTTAATTACTCAAAATTCTTTACCTCCACGTGTTCAACTTTGAGAAAGTATCGGTTGGGGTTATTGATAGTGTATTAAAAAATTAAAAAACAAATAGTCTATCGTACATGCAGATAGTGTATTAAAAAAGTAAAAAAAATAGCATATCGTACATGTAGATGCGATACAGGTAATGACCTGTCCAAAACTCGTACCAGATAAAAAAAATTGTTTAAAAAAAGTCTATTTTAAGAATATGTTTTTAAAATGACATTATTTAAAAATAAGGGTGTGTCATGTAATCTATTGTTAAAAATATTTCAAATTTATAAATTTTTATTTTATCTTTTTACTTTTTACTTTTGAGTTATAAATACTATAATAAAGATTAATCATCTGACTAGTAAAAATGTTTGGGCAACATCACAAGATATGTTCCTACGTTGTACAGGTTTATTTTATTTTATTAAATAAATTTATTTTAAAATAAAAATTATATAATATAATATATAATAATAATATTTTATTATATTAAGTATTGATATTGAAAAAAAACTTATAAAATATTTTTTTGTAATTTTATTTATTTTTTATTCTTCTTAAATTTAATGATCATATAAAATTATTTGTCATTATAAAATTTTTAAAAATAATTATAATAATACTTTATTAAATATAAAAAAAATTTATAATATGAATTATAAAATATAAATAAAATATTTTTTAATTTTTGACTTATATATTTATTAAACTAAATTTATATAATACATCATTTATTTATAATTATTTGTTATAAAATTAAAATAAAAAATTTATTAATTTTTTATGCATTTGTTTATAATTTTTAAAATAATTAATATAGTTTTTAAAATAAATCTCTCATAAAATGCATGAGAGATTTACTAGAGTACTTAATCTCTTTTTTTGCTTTTCTTTCACTTTCTCCTTTTCTCTACCTCATTTTTTTTTCTTTATGTTCAAAATGTCCTCTCTCAAACAAATTTTCAAGCTCCCTTTAATGCTTCCTTTTCCATAGTTATTTCTTCCTCTTTTATGTTGGTATGAGTTTTGCTTTTAGAATTTTCATAAAAGACCAAAAATTCAGAATTTTTCATTCTTTATCTATAAAATAAGCACTAATTTATAAACTTAATTATTTACAATGTTTTATTTTCATTTTGTTATATCAAATGGACATTTAACTTGGTACAATGTATCTTATTTGGCAGTGTTATAACTAGGGTAATAACGGATGACGATCGCATAGAAAAAAGAAAGAAGTAAAAAAAGGTTGCTTAGTTTAAGGAAAAAAAAAACTGATGATAGAGAGTCACTATTAAAATTTATTATAAAGAAAATACTGAAAAAACTATAATTAAAATAATAATCTTTGAAATTGGATTTAGAAGTCTTTTACAAGTAAGAAAGGTATTAATACTCTATAACATCCGTTACACATTTACCTTCTAATGATAATTATTTTACTTTAGAAATATTTATTTTACTCCAAAAGAAAATGATTCCTATTCTTGCTATTTTTAATTTATTACTATCCCTTTATTTTCCTTTTTTTATTTTTTTAAGAAGAAAATCTTGAATTATTTTTAGTCTTTTTAAATTCAAAATTATATAGGAAAGTATATAAAAAATATCTTTTGAAATTCTAGAATTGGGAAAAAAATTAAAAGATATTTGGGACTTTACGAGTCAAGTTTTTACTTATACGTATCCCTTGAGAAATCAAAGTCATGTAATTCTTTTGATTTTTAAAAATCAAGTTTTGGATAGGTTTCAAAGATTTTTTTCTAGAAAAATTATTATTTTTAATTCTATTTTTAAAATAAACTCACTATTGTACTGGATTCAAGTTAGCACACAACTAATCAATAAACTCTTACAATCCAAATAACATTTAAGATAAATCTACCACTCTATCAACATTATTTGGTTCTTGTGTGGATTCAATATTTATTTTAAAAAATAATAGATTCTTCTTATTTTGGAAATAAACCCACTCTTGCACATAATTCTAGTTAGTAGATGATTATTCAATAAGCTCTTACGATCTGAATGACACTGAAGATGAATTTACTACTCTACCAATATCACTTGACTGTTGTGTAGATTCAAAATAATCTTAAACTTTTCTTATTTAGAAATAAAACAATTCTTGTATAGAATTTAAGTTAGCATATGACTATTTAATAAACTCTTACAATCTAAAGGATATTAAAGATGGATTCACTACTCTATCAATATAACTTGGCTATTGCGTAGATTTAAAACTTTTTTTTTTAAGAAAACGTAAAAATGTATCTATTTTCCTATAAAAAATGTACAAAAAGGAAAAAAAATTTAAGTTTTGCAAAAGAAAGGATTTGTAAGGTTTTAAAAAAAAGAGCTTTTAAGGTTTGCAAGAAAATAAAAAATTATGATTTTTAGGGTAGAAAAAACTATAGTTTTTAGAGTTAAAAAAGTAGGATTTTTAAGGTTTGCAAAAAAACTTATAGGATTTTAAAATCATAGGTTCTTTAGGTTTTACAATAAAAGGAAAAATTATTAGCTTAAAAAAAATTATGATTTTTAGGGTTTAGAAAAAAGACTTACGATTTAAAAAAAGAAGAAGAAGAAATTTTATGGTTAAAAAGAAAATTAGAGTTTTTAGGTTCACAAGAAAAGGAAAGATTTTTATGTTAATAAAAATTAGAGCTAGTGAAAAATAATTTTAGGGTTAAAAAAAAGGATTATTTTTATGTTTGCAAGAAAAGAAAAGATTATTAAGTTAGAAAAAATTATGGTTTTTAAGATTTGCAAAAAAGACTTTTAGGATTAAAAAAATAAGATTATTTTTAGGTTTATAAGAAAAGAAAAAATTATTAGGTTAAAAAAATTAGTTTTTAGAGTTTACAAAAAAAGAATTTTTTTTAATATAAACAAGAGAGAAAACACATAAAAAAGACTAAAAGTAAAAAAAGAAGAAGAAGAGTTTTTACTTGTTCTAATAGATAAAGAGAAATTAATTCTCTTTTACATTTGTTTTTGTTGATCCTTTTATGATGACTTAGAGTTTTTTATTGAATTTTTCTTTCAATCCTCTAGATTTATTCTTTCTGCATATCTAAAAGAATATGCTTTAGAAATTTTTAATAATATCACAACCTTAATTTCTCTTTAACTTTTTCTCTCTTTTTCTTTTTTTCCCTCTAATTCTCAGACTCTCCAAAGTCTTTTACTTTGATTCCCAAACTCTCTCAATTCTCTCTTTTTTCTATTTCTCTTTTTTTTTTTTAAATTACACTTCCTAAACCCAAGATCTTATTTAATATACATTTTTTATTTTGATAAAAAATAAAAATTTAAAATTTAAAAATTTTGTTTTTATTTTCTTTTGGAAAACAATCCAAATAAAATTGGTTATTCACATTTAGTTTAATAAAGATTACTTTTTGTCTTTGTTAGGAATTGAAATAAAGATTAATAGTTCTTTTATCCAATTCAAAATGTGAAAGTCATGTTTATAGAAACATATTTTTATTGTGTAGTTAGTCTTATCACAATTTGTGCATAGACTGTTATTTTTATCTTTTCAAAATCGTGCTTTATGTCACAACTTCCTCTTTCTCTATGGAATAAAGTTTAGTTTTGTGTTTCGTTAACAAATGTAAAGATATCACACTATTTCTTATTCAATGAATGGCTTCCAAACTCCCGTTGTTGTTGCATAACTAATAAAAAAAAAAACACCTTGATAATTATAGGAACAAGCTCTATTAGCATCAATTAGGATCTCACTTGAGCAGATTGTTCTCTCTTAGAGATCAAATTTTATAATTGTCTTCTTTGTTTTTGTTGATGGTTTTAAAATTGCACATGCAACATACATGAATTGATCTAAAAGTTTCCAATTCCTCCCATAATGATTTGAGTCTAGTATAGTATTTAGAGACCAAATGATCACATTGTACAATTCTTCTTCTAAATATAAAATTCTAAACTTATTTTTATGTAAAAAAAAGTTCTTAAAGATCTTTTCAAATCTTCAATGCTTTGCTAATTAATAAATGCTTCCTATACTTATCCTACATTGTAATTCATGAATGATAATTGAGACTTTTAAGCTATTCATTGAGAGAATTTACTATTATTAAGTTCATTTTATTCATATTTCAGGAAAAAAGATCAACAAGTGAAAGCTTAAAAGATGTTGGGAATTGAAGCAAGAAAAGAATATGAGATATACATGGGCAGGTACACGCTCGTGTATATGAGCGTGTATCTCACTGGATACACAAATCAAGCACACAATCAAGCCAGAAATATATACGGGCAAGTACACGCCCGTGTACATGAACGTATATATCACTGATTGCGTCAATTGAAAGGCATCATCTAAACTAGAAATGTACATGGTCAAAGTACATGACCGTGTACATGAGCGTGTACTTCCTAGAAAAGCTTTAAAAGGTAATTGTTAGAGACCAGAGATGTACACGGCCAAAGTACATAGTCGTGTACATGAGCGTGTACTTTCACGTGCGTTAGAATTTAAACTTTTGCGATAAGATGAGCCCTTGGACGACTCATATAAAAGGGAACTTGACACAGAAACCTAGAGGAGGAGTTCGGGGGAAAGAAGAAGTCAGTAACGACTGGAGACTGTAATGAAACTCTTTAATTTCTTTCTTTTGTAATTGTAGTTTCTACATGTTTAGGTTCTAATTGTCCTTTGAGTATCTAGACGTAATGAATCCTATGTGACTAAACCTTCTGGAATTCTTCTTAATGTTATTTCATGTTTTCTTCTCTTGGGTTTAATTGAGTAGTATCAATTGTCTCCTATCTTGTTTTCTTGTTTGATTTTGAGTAAAAATCCTGCATCAAATTAACATTGTTCAATTAAAAGGACTTGAATGTATTTCTAGAGATAGAAAGACGTAAGTTTTCTGTATTAGGAATAACCCTAATTATGAAATTCATAATGAACTTAATGCAACCTAGGGGTATTAATTAAGGAAGAGATTCTGATTGATCAATCGAGGGTTAGGAATCATTATCCTTGATAAAAGTATTGGTTTAATTTAGAAATTCCTGCAGCGATAAGGGATTAGAACTAAGTAGTTAAAGGAGAATTTCAGTTATTTGGATATTTAGAAGGATTTACAATCTAGATACTTGCTTATTTCTCTTGAATACACTTAGTCATACTTTTCTATATTTTATCATCATAAGAAATTTGTTCCTTTTAATTTATTATTCTCTTATTTCAGCAATTTTATCAACACAATTTCCTTCTCATATTCATTAACAATTGGATAATTAATGACGTAATTCTTAAAAAATAGTCCCTGTGGATACAACAATTGGTACTCTATTTTTTACAATATTACTCTGACAATGGGTACACTTGTCCAGTAATCAATTTTTACACACCAAGTTTTTGGCGCCATTGCCGGGGACTGATTAATTAGGATTCCCTTGATTACATATTTACTAATTTTCTTTATTCCTTTAGTCTTGAATTAACTTTTCTATTTTGCTTTCATTCTTTTTTAGGAGCTGATTTTTCTAGTGTATGACCAGAACCCGTTCTGCTGCACTGTTTGAAGAACTATTTGAATTTGACCCAGAAATAAAAAGAACTTTGCAAAAAATTCAGAAAGAGAGGCGACTGCTAGTACAGAGGGAAAATGCACAAACCCACATGGAAGGAATGACAAACAATGAAGAGCAACCAAGAACCATGTCCGATTATGCTCATTCATCATTAATTGGGACAGAATCTAACATTGTCCGTCCAGATGTGCAGGAAAATTTTGAAATAAAGCCTAATGTTATTAAGATGGTTTAGCAGTTTGTTTAATTTGATGGGTTGCAAGATGAAGACCCCAACGCTCACATCGCTAATTTTCTGGAGATCTGTGATACGTTCAAGATTAATGGAGTTACTGATGATGCAATATGCTTGAGGCTATTTCCATTCTCTCTCAGGAGCAGAGCAAAACAGTGGTTGAACTCTCTCTCACATGGATCTATCACTTCATGGAAGGCCATGGCAGAAAATTTCTTAGCAAAGTATTTTCCTCCCGCAAAGACTACTAAGATGAGGAATGATATCTCTTCCTTTTACCAATTGGAGTTAGAGACCTTATATGATACATGGGAGAGGTTTAAAGAATTATTAAGGAAGTGCTCACATCATGGGATTCCTGACTGGCTTCAAGTGAAAACCTTTTACAATGGATTGAACCCTGCCACAAGACAAATGATAGATGCTGCAGTTGGGGGAACTTTAAATAGCAAGACACCAAGGGCTGCATAAGAACTGTTTGAAGAAATGGCAATGAACAGTTGTCAATGGAGCTTCACTCAATCTAAACCTGCGAAATCTGCTGGAATTTATAGTCTTGATGCAATAACATCCTTGGCAATGTAAGTTGATGCCTTAGGGAAGAAGATTGATGGTTTATCTGTTAACCATCCAGTTGTTCCGGTGATGAAATGTGATATTTGTGGAGGAAACCACCCTAATCATGAGTGTCAAGCTACTCAAGAAGAGCATGCCAATATGATAGGAAATAGACCACCTTACCAAAATTATAATGGCATGAATAATCTGGGCTGGAGGAATTATGCAAACCCACCATGGAACAACAACCAACAGCCGATGCGGAACAACACACTCCCAAGATTTCAACAAGCTTCACATTCACCACCACCCCCAGCTGAAAAGAAGTCAAACCTTGAGGAATTGATGACCAAATTAATTCAAACTTCAAAATCTTGGTTCCAATCCACCGAAATAGCACTAAGAAATCAACAAGCTTCTATCCATAATCTAGAAAATAAGTTAGGTCAAATTTCTAGACTCCTCTCAGAAAGACCCCAAGGGAGCTTACCTAGCAATACTGAAACTAATCCTAAGGAGCAGGTCAAGGCAGTAACATTAAGGAGTGGTAAAACATTACAAGATTAGGGAAAGCAAGAAGTAGAAAAAGCTGCAGTTAAAGAGGAGGATAAATGTCAAGAGAAGACTGTGGAAAAGCCCCCTGTAGTGAAAGAATTCATACCTCCACTCCCCTACCCAGCAAGATTGAAGAAGGACAAGGATGATGAACAATTTGGTAAATTTCTTTCCTTATTTCGTCAACTTCATATCAATTTACCGTTTGTTGATGCTTTGGCACAGTTGCCCAAATACGCCAAATTTCTGAAGGATCTATTGTCCAACAAGAAGAAGCTGGAGGAGTTGGCCATGGTAACTTTGAATAAAGAATGCTCAGCAATCCTGCAAAACAAGATGCCCAAAAAATTGAAGGATCCAGGGAGTTTTACTCTTCCTTGTCTCATTGGTAGATTGATAGTTGATAGGGCTTTGGCTGATTTAAGTGCTAGCATTAATTTGATGCCATATTCTGTTTTTAAGAAATTAGGTTTGGGATAAACTAGGCCAACTAGGATAAGTATTCAATTAGCTGATAAGTCAGTTAAATATCCTAGGGTTATCATTGAAGACGTGCTTGTAAAAGTGGACATTTATTTTTCCTATTGATTTTGTGATTTTTGATATGGATGAGGACACTGAAATTCCCTTGATCTTAGGTCGCCCCTTTTTAGCTACTGCAAAAGCCATAATTGATGTGAGTGATGGAAAGTTAATTTTGAGAGTTGGGAATGAAAAAGTCACTTTCAAAATTCCTGAAATAATGAAAAATTTCTTAAAACAAAATGATTCTTGTTTCTTTATTAAAGTAATTGATGACTTTGTTTCTGACTGTGCACAGGAATTCTTGATCTCAAACCCATTGGAAAGGAGCTTAGTTCATGAAGAAGGAAAAGATGATATGAGCCTTCTAACTCAAGAACAGTGGTGTTAACTAAAATCCACTGGGCCATTGTTGAGAAAGAAGAATTTTGAAGTTCTAGAGCAGAATTTAGAGAAGCAGCCCAACCCATCCACTAATGAACCACCAGATGTAGAATTGAAGGTCCTACCTGAACATCTGGAGTACACCCTTTTGGAAGATGGTTGCAAGTTACCGGTTATCATTGCTTCAGATTTAACACAAGAACAAAAAGCCCAGCTGTTGAGTGTACTTCGGAAACACAAGAAAGTAATAGTATAGAAGATCTCTGACATAAGAGGGATTAGTCATTCTTTTTGCACTCACAAGATTTTGATGGAGTCTTGTTTTAAGGCCGTAGTGCAACCACAAAGAAGGCTAAACCCAAACATGAAGGAAGTGGTGAAAACGGAAGTAATTAAGTTACTCGATGCCGGAATGATCTATCCCATCTCAGATAGTCCTTGGGTGAGCCCGGTGCAAGTCGTTCCAAAGAAGGGAGGAATGACTGTGGTGCCCAATGAGAAAAACGAGCTGGTGCCTACTAGGACTGTCATTGGATGGAGGGTTTGTATTGACTACCGAAAGCTGAATGATGCAACAAGGAAAGACCACTTCACTCTTCCATTCATTGACCAAATGCTGGAGCGTCTTTCGGGCCATATGTTTTATTGTTTCTTGGATGGTCTCTCAGGATACTTCCAAATTTTAGTTATTTGGATACTTAGGAGGATTTACAATCTAGATACTCACTTATTTCTCTTGAATACACTTAGTCATACTTTTCTATATTTTATTATCATAAGAAATCTATTCCTTTTAATTTATTATTCTCTTATTTTAGCAATTTTATCAACACAATTTTCTTCTCATATTTATTAACAACTGGGTAATTAAGGAAGTAATTCTTAAAAAATAGTCCTTGTGAATATAACACTTGGTACTTTATTTTTCACAATATTACTCTAACAATGGGTACATTTGTCCAGTAATTGATTTTTACACACTATTAATCTATATAACATATTAGGCAATCGATGAATTCATAGATCGAGGGAGTTATAAAACTATCATTAAGTAGCAATGTTCCCATGCTTGATCAGTCTTTTGCAAGACTTTTATCGACAAAATATTATTTACTTTTGGTAAGTAAGACTATACGCATGACCTTGGACCATGTGTGGCAGTTCTTTTTAGTCGACAATCGTGAAGCAAGAATTGAAGAAGGACCCTTGCATTAAGGTTATACGATAGATAGTAAGGATTTAATGCATCCATAAAATAAAAAATTTGATTTTGATTAGCCATAGTGGTTTATGAAAAATAAGTATTCATATACCAAATTGTAGAAGTGATAATGAACTAGAGCTTTATTTCTTAAAAATTTGATACCATTTTAGGACAATAACTCAGGCAAAAGCAGCAGACAATTTGTGTGTATAAAAAATTGCATTGAACATAAACAAGTTTATATATAGAAATTGAATATAAGCCAAAATGACAAATTCAAATCAAGGTAAATACAGATGTTTATAAAATTTGAATAAAAAGTAATTAATTAAACCAAAAATAGTTAGACAATTATTAACTAACTACCATCCTAATATAGAAAGCAATTTACTAAGTAATTAATAAGGAAGCCTTTGCATAAAAATTCTCTACATAATTATATTGAAACAAAGTAGCCTTAAGAACACCGTTGAACAATCGAATTATGATATAAGAATGAATAACTATGGGGTTAGAGTAGTTGGCCTAGTTATAAGACATATTAACTTAAACCACAAATAAATGTTAAGTAAGATTAGTTTTTAAGAGCCCTAAGTTAATGTTAGGCTATAAGCACAGGTCAAATTTTAGGGTTTCAATATTTTTAGTGGCTTAAGGTCACCACTTGTTAGTCAATCTTACTCTTAGGCTTCATAAGTTAAACTGATGGTATAATTTCTATTTATAAACGTGCTTCATCAATTTTGTTATCTATTTTACTCTAAAAATAAATAATTAACAATAATGCCATGCTAATAATGTTTTTAATTTTGAGTGGATCATTCCAATGATAATAGATATAATGAGATAGTAATTAAGATAATTTAACGTTACGAATTTAAATGAATAATAAACTAATACTACCCCTAGTTTTATTTATCATCAAATATAATGACTAATACAATAAAGTTAATTATAGTTCACACTTAAAAATCAAAGCAATAATTTTTTTTCTCATAAATAATGATTATTAAATATATGCTGAATCTTTAAGATTTGACTGAAACAATAAGTTGTCTAAAACTTCTACTAAAATCAAGTAAACTCAAATTGAGATTTCTCATTATTCTTCAAAGTCATTTTTGTTTTGGATAATCTTTTTCTTCAAAAATCTGGCTCTATACAATACATACTTTTTAGATGGGCTTCTCTCACATAAACTGTAAACCCAGTTCATGAATGGGCCATAGTGGTTAAGAGGTAAACCTTAACAAAGAATAATAGGCCCGAGTTTAGGCTGAGTAAAAATTCAAACAAAAAAACAATTAACCTGAAGATTTTACTATTTCTTGACCCAAAAAACAAAAAGAAGATAGAAAAGATAGGTTTTACTCTTTTAGAACGCCTCCATATATACGAAACTGGTAAATTTATATTATATTGATTATCATTTTTAAAATATAAATTAAAATAAAACATTAAAAATAAAATGTGCCTTATCACATTAAAACAAAACTCCAGTAAGACTTTCTCTTAAAATGTTTCTAATAGAAATATTTTATATTATTAAATAAATATAAAATAAAAAATATTTTTTAAATTGAGAAAGAATTTCCACATTCATTATCTTTAAGTCTGGTTTTTTTTTTGTACAAAATTTTTTACAAGAAATAATACTTTAATTTAAAATAAAGAAAGTCCTCAAATTCAAAGAGTACTTGTATCACCTATATTAAGCCACTTAAGGAATTGTTTGAGAGAACATTTTCCAAAAAAGAAATAGAAGGAAGAATATATTTTTTAATTTTAAATTAAGAAAAGTATATATCATTTATAATAATAAATATATAATAAATATATTAAATTTATATTAATATATTTTATATATTTTATTTTTAAAAATATTAATTTAAAATACATTTATTTAAAATAAACAAATTGTGCTCATCCTTTTTATTTATTTCAAAATTCCTCTTCCCAAATAACCTCAAGGAATAAATGGGGTTTAATTAGCTCTTGTTATATATGAATTTGAAAAGAAAAAACTGAAAAGAATAAAAAATGTCATACTTAATGCAACAAAATGTGATTTATTAAAAAAAAAAATTCACATTGGTTACCCAGAATATTTTATTTTTTTAAGAAATATGAAATAATAGTCACAGAAATTTAGAGAGTAGGGTTCTTTATGCAATAAATTTTCACAATAATATTTATGTAGTCACTTTTTTCTTTATTTTTTTATTAATTACCAAACTTACCCTTTTCTTTTTATACATAAGCGAATGTATAAACTATGGAATAAATATAATTAGTTAAATTTATATTCAAGCACTTGTTGTATTATGACACAAACTCTCTAATAGCACTTTGATTTCACTAAATGTTTCTCATATACACAAACACAACACCTTTTAGATGTGAAATGGTGTCTTAAATGAATGTGGTTGGAATAAAAGAATGGAAAAGCAAGTAGTGGGAGAAGCAGAATGATGAAGAAGTGGAAGCATATGAATGAGAGGTGGCTGAGAAAAAAGCTTTTAAGGTCGAAAATGGAGATATTGACCCTACTGCCATTACTCATTTCACACACAAGTTGCCATTTTTCATCATTGAAAGCATATCACTTTGTTGAATCACCTCAATACACAGAAATCATCAAATTATATTATTAGAATCAAATCATTTTCTCAAGTGTTATGGAACGAAGCAAAATTAAAGAAGATCCTTTAACCCATTAAATCAAATTTAAGTTGTTTATGGGCCCCCAAAAGCCTTATCTAAACATCACGTGAAAATACAAAAGTCATAGTTAAGGTCACACTTAATATCTTTAATTTTGCCTATAATTCATCATTTTAATTTTAAAATACTCTAATTATATTGGTGTTTATTTTTTATTCTCTCTCTATTTGATAAAACAAACAAATAAGTTAACTAAAGTTGAAAAACTAAATGATTAAATTAAAAATATTGGGTGAAATTAGTCGCTTAAAATTTTAATAATGAAAGTAGTTTGAAAAGTTAAAAGTTTTAGAAATTAAAGAAATAAAGAGATTAATTGTTAAAAAATAATATAAAAAAAACATTTTCACCTCATAGCTGAAAAGTATCATTTAAAAAACACTAGTTAGAGACTTAGAGTAGCGTTAGACAAAATGTTAATAATCGCATATTTCATATATCTTATCAAATAGAATTATTTTTGTTAAACAATTTTTTAAAATAATTTTTCCACTAATTGAATCATTCTTCTTTAAAAACATGGACACTAATTTAGACATTTATATATACTATCTAAAATCTAATATTTATTTAATTTTAAAAAATTACACATTAAAATAAAGTAATATAATAATCTACCTATTTATTTATTTTTATATAAAATTATATATTTATTTATTGGATAAAAACCTTAAAATCAACCATCAGATTAATCAATTTAACATTTAAAAGAAGATATTACATTTTATAAATATTTAAATTTATTATATATGTATATCATTTTTGTATTTTAATTATTATGATGATGTTGTTCCACGTCATATCATAAATTTTATTATAAAATCAAATATTAATTAGTATATTCTAAGCAATTTTATTGAAATTTATTTATTTTTAAGATAGCTTTATATACTCTACATTAGAGTTAAAGATGAGGAGAGAGATATACATAGCTAAAAGAATGGTTTGTTATATTTTTACTCTCCTTAGTTTAGGTTATGTACAATTTAGATTTTAAAAATTTTCACCTAATTATGTCTATATTAAATTGTTTCAAATTTATTTTTTAATTATTCTTTCCTGCCTTAAATGTTTCAATTTTAATTTTTTACTCAATTTTTACACTTTAAAAATATTAAAGTTTATATATTTAAAAATAACTAAAAAAACATTAAATTGCTTCAAATTTAATCTCACATCTTATAATTTTTTTGAAAATTTTATTATTATTTTTTTAACTTTTGAACTTTTAGAATGATTTTACGTTTCAATTCCATTAAAAATCTTCTGAGATATTGAATAAAAAATTGAGGACTTTAAGTAAAAAAGTCAATTAAAAACTAAATTTGCATAATTTTAAACATAAAAGACTTAATCCTAGCTTAGGTAGATTTCTAGAGAAGCTTTTATAAGAAAAATAAATAAATAAAACTTTTGTTAAAAGTTAAAAATTACTTATTCTTTCAAATTTTAGAAAAATTATAAAAAAATACTTTAAAAATAGAGAAACATAAATAATTTTTAATTTATAATTTTTTTAATTATTTTTATATTATTTTTTCTCTTATAAAAATTTCTTTAAAAGTTTACTTAACTAGGCCTTAATCAATTTAAGAATTGGGAAACTAAAATTATACTTAACTCAAATTAGAAAAATTTGAAAATAAATTTAAACCAAAGAAATTAATTTTAAAAAAATATAGTTACAATTTTTTTTTTCTCATTCAGTTTAATTTGAATTTGATTCGGGTCATACACCTGGATGTGATACGTAAGTCTACCACTAAATATGTTTTGTATGTACAAGAATTTAAATTTAAAACCTTACTTAAATAATATCAAATTGCTTACCATTTGAACTAACCTCCATTAGTAAATATAGTTACAAAATAAAAGAAAAAAATCACTTATTCTAAAATAAAAAATATTTTTTAGCACCATGTTATGAAATAAAAAAAAAAGGAACCCATGTATTTAGAAAGAAAGTTAATCGTTATATATTTACTTAGTAATGACTTTTTTCACTTTTTAATAACATGGAAAAAGAAAGAAAAACAAATTATAAGATACAGTTTGTCGGAGCAATTATTTTTTTTCAATTCATGAAATTACAAAGAAAGAAAAATAATAATAAAATTAAAATTAGTCTAGTACACTCTCACCATAATATTTTATTTATTTATTAATTTATTAATCAACATTTTTAAAATTAACAAGAAATAACCTATGATTACAGCAAAAAAGAAGTAAAAACAAAACCCTCTCTAATTTAGAATAGAAAATGATGTGCATATCCTAATCCATGCAATCATTACTTCATATTTTTCTTCATGGTAAAATTTGTTTGGGGGGAGCTCAATAAGATAATTATTAGAACATCTTCCACTATATATAGAACTCTAAAGTTGATCAAGTAAATAAAGGACTATATATCTTATGATATTTATTTTATGTTTCTAATGGCTTCAAACAAACTTGAACTCCATATTTGGGCTTAATTGTGAGGACAACCACAGGTGCATGCCTATAATTCTCTGAAATGGTGAAGCTAAACCTTGAGATCAACATAGCCAAAATAATCTTAGCTTCCATCATAGCAAAAGATTGTCCAACACAATTTCTAGGACCAGAAGCAAATGGTATAAAACGCCCAGGAATGAATGACTTTGAAGCAAACCTCTCAGGGTTGAATTCATTTGCATCTTTACCCCATAATTCTTCACTGTGATGAATAGCCAACACTGGAATCCAAATTGATAATCCTTTAGGAATATAAAGGTCACCTAACACAATGTCTTCAAAAGCCATTCTAGGAAGCACAGTTGCTGGAGGATAGAGCCTCATTGACTCGTTAATAACCATCTGTAACTGCAACATCAAATTAAAACCTTTGCTTAGTTTATCATATATTCAAATTTTATGTTACTTTCATTAATTGGATAGTAGAAAATAAAGGGTTCCTAGTTTATTATTCTGTTGACCATCCAAGTTATACTAATTTTAAGGTCATGCTGATCATTGACCATCCTTCAAAAGTCTTGCCTTTTTACAAAAAATAAGAGAGATCAAACATCAATATGAGGAAATTATTATATTAAAAATAAAAATAATTAAGAGAAAACCTTCCACTTTTAAATTAACAAAAACATAATTTTTAAATAACTAAAAATAATATTTTTTATTAGAAAATATTTATCACATTATAAATTTAGAAGTTTAATAAACTTTTTTAATTATAATTGCTATCTTTAGATACTCGAAATTATTTATAAGCGATATTAATAAAAGAATTACTACTACTACTGTTTACTTCACAGAAATTTTCTATTGGGTCTTCTTAATCTTTAAATATTTCTCAAATTTTTTGGGTCAAGTTCTTATTCTCAATCAACAAGATGAAGAAAATGTATGAATATTTGGGAAGTGGGTAGCCCATGTCATTGAGTAGGACAAGCTGGGTCCTCTCATTTTTACCTTTTGGGTTTCTTTCTCTGACTAGAATAATAAAATGATTAGGAGGCATCACAAAGATGCGATCTTTCGATTCATCTATAGTCTTGAGTTTGGTTGACCAAAAAAGAAATCTTTATAGTCTTGAGTTCTACATTAATTTACTTTAAAATATTGATATAAAATGCATAAAGTAAAGTAATATAATAATAGTAAGATATGTAATGGGTGCAAGTAATAAGTTTTTTTTTCTTCTGAAAAACAAGTATGACTATAACATTACTCTAAAATTCAAGCCTTCACGTAGTGAATTCAATATACTACTTGAATAACACTAGCTGCTGGGTAATGGGTGCAAAGATTATTTTTAAATCAGTTATATTTACTTTATGTTTCTATATAGAGTCACCTTCTAGTTAAACTATAATATTTCTAGGTTGTCTTTTCTAAAATTCGAGGCAATAACTAAAATGCTCAAAGATCTCTAATTTTAATCTTCATTTTTTATTCAAAGTTTGTTGGACTACAGTGCATGATTAAATACTAATTACTAATAGAAAAGGTTAAATACATAATTTTTTTTACTTTAATTTTGATTCATTACTAGTATACAAAACATTAACATTTGATGTTAAGATTGAACAACTAGTAAGAAATTTTAATGGATACATAAACTATTAATTCAAATCTCATATCATCATTGTCAAAGTATCATATAATAACATGTTATTTTAGAATAATGCTTTTTCAAACAAACATTATAGTCATGTCCTAGTTAAAATATAATGTTAACTAGAAGCTTAAGATCTTCAAGTTTAATTAGGCTTATTATGTAGCTAGGAATAAAAAGAAATTACCTTATAAGATTACAAATTTCACAAGTTGTAGCTAATTATCTTACCCGTCCTACTATAGGTTACTTTATATTTTTATTAAAAATAATATACTAATAAATAATTAGGAAAATAAGTTAAAAATAAATAAATTTTCAAATATAGAGAATTGATTCTAGTCATACTCATGTCATCTTTTATATATATCTAATGGATTTCATGTTTTTAGAAAGCTTTTGTTTAAATAATATAATGGATAAGTTAATTTCACAAAATATATTTTTAGATAACATTTTAAATGTGGATAAACTGAATTTTTAAAATTAATTTAAGTTTCATTAAATGTTATCAATTTTCTAATTTTATTTAACAGTGTTTAAAACACTTTGAATTTATGTACTAACGGTGTTAAATATCTCCAAATAAGGTTTAAAATAATAATAATAATATTGTTCAAAAATAAAAATATTATTATTAGTTCTAAATTTATGCTTTAATTACATTTTTAATTCATTTCAAAATAAGTGATATTACATTTTATTTGATTAATTATTTTTAAAAAATATATTTTAAACGAAATTTATCACTATCACTGAAGCTAAAGAATTTAATGGTTTAATAACCTCCTTTCAAGGAAAAATGTAAAAATAGATATCAAATGTACTTAATGATATTAAACAGTTTTCATAATCAAATTAGTAAAAATATTGTTCAAAAAATTAAAAAATCATTAAAAATATTAAAAATTACTGTAATAACAGATTTGTAATATTTTTAATAAAATATTTTTTACTTTTAATGTCTTAATGATTTTTCTTAAAATATTGGTTAAAAATATTAATAATTGGCACAATTGAACATTATCTAAAATATATTATATGTGCAAAAGGAAACAAAATAAAACTGTTATGCCCTTTTAATAATTCTTTTATTATTTTATAAACTAAATATTAAATAATATGTACTTTTTTAAAATTAAAATTTTATAAATAAAAAGTGAAAACATTTAATAATATTCAACATGCAGAATAAGATGGCTAGCACGAATTTGACCAAAAATACGTGAACAATATGAAATGGCCTGCACACGGTAAACCTGTTTTTCGATGTCCTGTCAAACCTCAGCAGTTTTTTCTTTTTTAAAAAATATTAAATATATTTAATTAAATATTATAAATTAATATAAAAAGTATATATTGACTATTTATATGATTTTGAGATAGGAAATTTTTTTATTTTTAATAAAAAATTAACTTCTTAATATGTATTTTTGACACATAGTAAAAGATTGATTAAAAAATTAATTTTGTTAATTTATTTTATAGCTTTTAATATAAAATCTGAAATATTTATTATTTTTTACATTGTCTCTATGAATAGTAATATTTGATAATTAATATAATAAAAAATTGACTTTAAATATAGAAAACTACTGCCCATTATTTAAGAGGATCCCACTCAAAGAATTAAAAATAAATTCTTTATTAAAAATTATTAATGCACTCCTATCACAATTTTCTATGCATCTCTAATACAACTTTCAACAAAAAAATATTTTATTTTTAAATTATTTTGATTTGATTAAACTTTAAATGTTGGTAATTCTTTTGATTTGATTAAAAAAATATCTTATAGACAAGAAATAAGTTTCATGATCAATATAAGAAAAAAATGCAGCATTAATGTGAGGAAAAAGAAAAGCATATAGTAATTTGTTGCTAACCAGAGTGAGCTTGGATAGTTGATCCAGTGATGGAGTTTCCCCATTGAAGACCTCTCTGACTTCAGCTCTGACTTTGTCTTGCCAAAGTGGATTGCTTGCTAATAGCATGATTGTCCATGTGAGTAACAGTGCTGTGGTTTCATGTCCAGCAAAGAAAAATGTTTTGCATTCATCCATTACTAGTTGCAAATTCAAGTTATCACCCTCTTTTGTTATCTCATCCAATAGTATACCCAACAAATCATTCCCATAAGAGTTGCTTCTCCCCATCTTCACACATTCTTTTCTACTCTCTATGATCTCCATCAATAGCCTCTCCACCTCCATTTTCATGCACTTTATCTCTCTGTTGTATGCACTAGGAAAAAACCTACACACATAAATTTAATGCTGAATGATACATGTATTGATCATTTGAAAAATGAGACATAGGAACAAAATCTAAAATATATAACTATAGAAGGGAATGGAATATTTTATTCAATTCCAATCTTGAACCATACACAATTGTTCATTATGATTTAATATTAACACTACATTACATATATATATAATTCAAAACTGACATACCTGCTTCCAGGAAACCAAAGATGACGACTTGCTTGAGCACAGCGACTCTGAAGCTGTGTGAGGAGGTGAAATATTTGCTTTCCCTTCTCATAGTTTGTTCCAAACTCAGTTCTTGAGATTATATCTGCAGTGAGTTTGGTTACCCATTCTCCAATCTCCACCTCACTTTCCCCACACTGTAACACATTTTCCAGTGATTCAAGCATCTCCTTTGTGCATTCCACCATGTGCCCACCATACCCCTACTCATCAAATATCTATCAACACTTTAAGATCAACCATTTTAATCCTTCTTCTTATCAAATCAAATTACTTTGTTCTCTAAGTTTATTAACCAATATTCATTTCAATTTTAGATAGCTAGGAGCAATAATAATTCATGTGTATTAGTATGATCAATATATATATATATATATACCTTAAGTCTGTCTCCCATGAATGCAGGGGCAACTATGTGACGTTGGTGAGACCAATCTCCACCATTTGCCATCAACAAGCCTTTCCCTATGAAATGTTTGGATCCCTGTTGTTGCTGCCATGATTTCCCAGATATGGTACTGTACTTCGACAAAAACTCCTTTATCATTCCACTCTCTGTCAAACACAGCCTTGGCTCTATACCATTCCAAAATATAAACCTCTCTCCTGCACCCTCCCATTCAAGTCAACATCAAAATCAAACAAATATATATTAACAATAAAGATTTAATTTAATTTGTTCAAACTTTTTAATCAATTCTTCATTTTTCATGTCCTCACTTGAAACTCCTACAAAAACAAATCTTTAAACACACATATAATATATATAATTTGATGTGCATATAATATAGAATACCGTATTGTTTGGACCAGGCAACAAAATGTGGCAAAAGACGAGGAACAACATCGTGGTTGATGGTTTTCATGTCTTGAGAAAGGGCTCTTGAAATAAGGGAAGCCATGTCTAAGATGTTTCCAGTGAGAAAGCGTGGTTTGGGGCCACACACACCTTGCTTCTCCATTATCTTTTTTATGCGTCTTGGAGTGAGCCAATAACATGATATGGTATCATATGCAACTCTCAATACCAAACTCACACAGATCACCAAAAGGGTTGTGAGAACCACCATAGCCATGCCTCTGTGTTCTATGATCACCAAACTCACTTACACTTTGCAAGAATTCACTATGGAATTCCAATTTTATTCTTCACTCTACCTATATATATATATATATAGTAAGGATCCCTTCATTTAATTATATTAAATAAATATAATATTGTATCTTAATTAATAACTCTGGGGTTGGTGGGGAGTGCAAACGTAAATCCCACTTTCAATTTTAATTATATTTGCAGTTATTCTATTTTAATTATCATAATTGTGAAAATATATTTTACCATTTGTTCTGAAAAAATTGCTAAATATAGCCAACTCAGTCATTTGCAATCGTGCTATGGTTATATAAACCTTTCAAATTGTGTATATATGTATATATAACAAAAGAGTTATTAATGGAATATTTATGAGTATATTATAATAAGTTAAAAAACGTTTTTTTATTAGAAAAGTATTTATTGTATTAAAAACATTGAATCCATTCAATATATAATTAAGTTCCAGCTTAAAAAATGAATTTAATTTTAATGCACTGTGAGTGTCAAGATTTTTATATTATTAATTAATTGAAATATATTATAGGTATAATTTTTATATTAATGATTATAGAAATTAATATCTTATATAACAATTCATGAGTGAATGAAAATATAAATTATCTTTGCATTTTTTATGTATTTAAATTAAATTATTAAAAAATATTTTACTTAATTTAAATATTTAATAAGATATATTTAATATTTTTTAATCAAAGAATTCATTAAAATTTGTGTCACAAGTTTTATATCGATTAGCAAACCTTATTATGAAGGAGTTATTAATTTATTATATATTATTAGTACATTATAAGAAGTTCAAAATAAAATATTTTTTATCAAAAAAACGTTTATCATATCAAATATATGAAAACATTCAATATTTATTTTTGAAAATAATTTAAAATTTTTAATATAATATATTTAATACTTACACGGTGATATTGCAAAGATTTTAAATTGAGTTGACTTTTTGGGTATTTTTTTCCCTCAACGTAATATGTGATTAGTGGTGAAGTTTTCTTTCGTGAGTAGATTGGTTGCGAGTTGTTTGTCTTTTAGACAAGCATAATGATCACAGATATTGTATATAATTCATTTATTGCATTTTATTGGGTTTGGTAATATTTGAATTTTTTTATGATAAAATGCTTAGATAAACAAAATTTTATGAATTTAAACTAGGAAACCTGTAATTGCTTGCTGGAGTAGCATGCAAATGAATTAAAATATAAAAAGAAATACATTTTAAAATTTTAATTTTAAAATAAAGATTATTTTAAATTATAAAAATGAGCTTTAGTGACAATTTGTAAATATTATTCTATATTTATATATTAAATCTGAATTTTTATTTTTAAATGAAAGATTTTTAAGGCGTAATATTTAGTGAGAGCAATTTTAGGAATTTCTCTTCTTTTTTAATACGTCACATAAAATTTTCTAAATTAATTATTTAATTTTTTTAATGCGATTTAAAATTGAAATTTAAAGTTTAAATTTTAACTTTTTATTATTTCTCTTTAGATTTAAAAAATTCATCGTAATAATTTTGATGACTGAAGAGGATGGAAAACTTGATGCCCTCGAAAATTGGTTGTTAATATAGTAAAATATTTATTATTAATAAAAAATATTAAATTTAATTATAGTCATAAAATATTTTTATTTAAATTTTATTTTAATTAAATAATATGTAATGCTCAAGGAATTCACTTAGTTGAGTCTTACGTTGACGATGGAAGTTTAATTTGACTATTCATTAAAGAAAATTAAGAAACGTAAGAAAATTATTGATTGAATTAAAAAAAATATTGATTTTATTTTATGTAAAAACTTTAAGTATATATGTAATAAAAATTATATCTTTTTTTTTTTAGAATAAATTGAATTTTAAGACTTTTATAATCTTAATCGATGTTAAACTAAAATTGACTTTTAAACATTATCAACACATCATATTAATAATAATGATGCATCTTGATTATAATAACTTATTTTAATAATTTTTTATGAAATTTCAATTTATATTTTTTCATTTATTCTTATTTAAAATTTATAAATTAATCATTAGTGATAAAATAAACCCATTATTCACTTTAATCTATATTTTGAATAAATTTTATGCGATTAATTGTGAAGCTTTACTTACGAGTGGATTGATTTAATGATTATCCTTTTAGACAATCATAATAGTTACAATTATCTAATTGAGAGAAACCAATGAATCTGTAAATGGGTTGGCTAAATTAGGCCATACACCCTAATTACTCTATAGATGTTCATGAATTTTCTAATATCCTTTCTTTTAATTTTAATGCTATTATAACACATTGTATGGATATTATGTATTGTATGTAGTTGGGCTCTGGCCCATGTTATTCACAAAAATTAAAAATAAAGTTTTATTTTAATAATTCATTTATTGTATTTAGTATGATTGAAATTGGTATATATTGAATAATTGTTTCCTAAAATTAATTGTATAGATAAATACAAATTTATTCGTTTAATTAAAAAATTTCTTAAATAGGACAACATGTAACTATGGAATTAAAGCACGAAATGCAATCACTAGAAAAAAAGGAAATAATGAAAAATACATGGGAGTTAAATTGATTTTTTTTATTTTTAAATTTTTTTCAGAAACATTTTGAGATACAAAAGATGATTTAGAAAAGTGTCTTTCAACAAGTTTTGTTTATGTTTTTCAGAAGCAAACGTAGATATGATTGGTTTCAACACATAATGTTCTCAAATTCAAAAGGAAGAAAATTAAAAACTCTTCACAAAACACAACCTTTTTGTGATTAATAAAAATTTAAAATCAAATTCTCAGAAAGTAAGTTAAAAGATAGTGGTAGGGGAGAAAAGTACGCAGATTCATTCCTAGTTGAAGCATATGTTTAAGGTCTCAAACATATATATATATATATATATATATACACACACACAAATGGCAATTTCATGGATTTAAAAGAATATTGTTTGTAATTTAATTTTTCTTGCACAATGAATCTCTATACATAATTTGTGAATATTAATTCTTAAATTTTAAAAATTTTCTCAAACATGTTTTTAGGTTTTTTTTTTTTTTATGCCAAGTAGTTTTTCTAGGATATGGATATAGTTTGTTAATACAATATTGAATTAAAGTTTGAGTTTTTATATTTTTAAAATTTATCTCTTTATTTAATACAAATAAATATTTATTAATAATTATATTATTTTCTATTTTTAAATTTATAGAATATATTTTAATTTATTGATACATGTACAAAATATAATTATTTTTCAAGTGTATATACATTCAAACATATACATATATATATATATATATATATATCTTAAAAATAATTTATTTGATAAAATTTTCAACTAATAAAAAAATCATATTAAAATATAAAAATATAAACATTTGTAGCATTTAATTAAAATTTTAATTTAATTTATTAAAAATATTATGATAATAATTTATAATTATCTCCTTAAGTCTAATGTTGATTAAAGAACTAAATATTAAGAAAAGTAAAATTTCTTTAAATTAAATAATTAGTTGAAAAATATTAATTTATTTTATATAAAACTAAAAAATATTATGAAGTGAAAAAAGATCCCATGGAAAAATACATAGGGATTGTTTCATTTTTCAAAAATGAAACTCAATTTTTTTTGTTTTACATAGATATAAAATGTGTGGAGAGAGATATTGCTTTCCATGCTAAAAGTATTTGAGTTATGAATGGTTAATAAAATGGTATGAATAAGCATTTTAGATTTGATTTGTAATTGGATATGCCTTCTTATTGACTTCACTTTTGCTTATTAAAACAAATATTAATCTCCACCAGCCTGCACAGAAAGTATAATAGGGCAGAGTCTAGCTTACTTGTGCACGCTTATCAATAGACAAGGAAAAAGAACAAATCAAAAGGGGGCAGCAATTAGCATACACTTGAGATAAAAAGATTATAAATCATTACAAGTTAGGTCAATGCAGGCCAAGTAAAGATCACTCATTTTTTTATGTTGTAATTAAAATTTCTACAAAATATTTATACAAATAGCATTTCTCAATAAAAGGGTGTGTGATTGTTGAGCCCAAATACTTATAAATTTAATTATTAATCTATCTGATTCTGTGTTGACCAGGAGCATGGAAAATTACTTGAATGAACCACCTAAAAATAAAAGGGTCTTCAAAGAAGTGGCAGCAAAATAGTCTTCTCATGCCCTGTAAGGGCGAAAGGGAGCACAATTCACTTCTCATAAGATTTTTCTTAACAAAATTATCATAATCCTCAAATGTAAAAGAAAAGGAACATGACTAAGTATGCCTTTGGCCACTCAAAATGCATCATATTTTCATTTTAATTTTTCAAGAATTAATTTTTTATTTTAGTCTCTTATTTTTCAAAATTATCGGTATTACTCTGTTGGATTAAATGTGATTCTTTTAAAAATTTGATATAATGATAATATTTGAATTAACATAATCTTTTAGCAAAGATTAAAGACTAAAACCAATTATTTAAAAATAAAGTAAGGATTAAAAAATTATAAAAACTAAAATTTAAAAATAATATAATTTAGGAGACTAAAAATATATTTAATTCAAAGAAATACTATCAAACTTGAAAAGAAAACAAGTAAAAGGAGAAAAAACTGCTCAACAGCTCATATAGGAAACCTCCATTACTAAGACACAACTTTAAAGAGAAGCATGGGCATAAACCCTCCACAAGGAAGCAAGAAAAAGTATCTCCTTATTCCACAAATAAGATTCACATGCAAAGATCAGTAGCTGAAAATACCAGCATTTAGCTCCAACCAAATAAACCTCAAACCCAAAAAAGATAGTGCACCTCCAGCACATATTCATATCATTTTCCCAAAATCACAATAATCATAAACAAGAAAATCTCAAGTGGGAGAACAAATCCAAAGTTAATCAAACTACAGTATCGACAACCATCTAGCAGACTCCAAACAAAACAGGATTATAAACTATGCATGTGAGGGTTGACTGCTGAGTGTTGAGATCATGATCTAGAAATTTCATGAATATTCTCCTTTGTTTGGAAATTCCCCTGATAACATACACGTACTTCTTTCTTGTTCCAAAATGCATAGAAACGCCCTTTCTTATAGACATATACTAGCTTCTTATGTCACTTCTTCAATAACTTGGTCCAACTTTTTCACTATTTTGTACACATACAACTGGGAATGCATTATTGGAAATGAGACTACGTAATTGGGACTTCAGTTATATAGTTCGTGATGTCCTTAGCTTTTCAACTTACGTGGATACTTTTTCCATTAATTCCATTTGTTATTTTTCTGGCAACTATACGATTCTGTCAACTAAAAATCATATTCAACTACGCAGTTGAAAAAGTGTTGTCTCTTATTATTCACTGTAATATAAGTAAATGAATTAAGCAACCAACAGACAAAAATAAAAATGCAGGAAAAAGCATACCATATTTAGTACATGAAAAAATTGATTAATATCACCTTTTTGGTATTAGGATTGAGTAATCATATATTACAGCATAGACCATGTTAAAATAGCTGGAAGAAACAAAACAAATGAAAATAGCAAGTGTAATGATGAAGAATATTAACCTGTTAATTTACAGGTAGACAATAAAAAGAATAGAAGCCACAAGATCTTTTTCAGAGAAGATATTCGCAACAGCTCCAACAGTAAAGCTTAAACTAATGTAGATATACTGAAATACAACAAAATGCAAGATTCAAATTAAGCACTACCAAACTTGTTACTGAAAAGTAAGTAAAGAACCACAGATATTAAACAATATAAGAATTTTCTGGTGAAAGCTAAAAATGACCACGATTAATTAAGATCAAATATGAATTTAGCAAAAACATGGCAGTGTGTCATTGGCCCTATTTGGAATAAGTTTATAAAAAATAGCTTATAACTCTCATAACAAAGAGTTCTTAGTTGATTCAAATTTGTTGCGCATTGCTCTTTCTGCTATCACTACACTAGCAAGGATAAACGTAAACAAATTTGAATAATACTATATAGTACGCATGATTTGAATTGGCAGTAAATTGAAAGTGAGGTTAATTTTCGAAATCTAATGACTAAAGTACCATTCAAAATACCTTTATGAACCAACCACCAACAATAATCAAGATCATTTGCAATACCCTTCACTTTCTTTCCCCTCCCATTTTAGAAAATCAACTCAGTTTCATTCACCAGGTTGGTTACTTAAACTAAATGAAAAATCAAGAGTAAAAGTTCCATCACCCATTATCATTCAACGAGTTGGAATTTGTTTCTGTAGAAAGAATTAGCAATTCTTTTGGATAAATGGGGAAAAATCTGAACCGCCAATCTTAATCCTATATATATATATATATATATATAAACTCTACTAAATCCAGACCCATTCTTATGGGACATACTTTTACCCGCAAATCTGAAATCATCTCCTTGTAACACAACAGTTTTTCTATGCTCTCACCGTTTCCAAAACAAAGTTGTAAGACTATTCTGACGTTACTTAGTTGTTAAAAACAAATAAAAATAATAATATCATAACATTTTTATAAGTAAAGTTTAAAATATTTTTTTAAAACTCCAAAATATTCATGGGAAGCCACGAGGAAAGTTATTTTTACACTCCGATAAATAAATACGTATATCTCTGAAATTAATGAATAAGTAATATTTATTAATAATTTAATATTAATAAAAGTTGCACTAAATAAATTATGAAATAAGTTGATTACTTTTTAAAAGTCGATAAGGTTTGTTTGAAAGGATTTATAAAATTTATACCTTATTTTAAAAACTTTTTATTGTCATTATAATTTTTTATAAAATTATTAAATAAATATTTAAATTTAATTTAATATAGTATTGATTTTTTATATTGTCATTAAATGGTAAATTAGTTGTTATATTTATGTTATAAAAAGTTGTATTTTGATTGATTCGCATTATAAAAAACTACCATAATAATACATTAAAATTAAAATCTATATATTTAATTAAGTCATATTTTCAAACGTATGATTATGATTAATAATATAAAAATTGTGATATGAACGTGTAAAAAAGTTGTTTAAAAATTGTAAAAAGTACAATAAGAAAATAATATTATTATAGATCAATGACTGAAATAGCTCTAAAAATAATATATAAGAATAATTGTAATATATTCAAATATTTGTTTTGTTGGTATAAATATTAATACACCTATATAAATGTAATATTTCTTTTTTGGGTCTCTTTAAGTAACCACAAAGTATAACAGGTAATAATTACTGAGTTATGAACAAACCAAAATTCTATTGGGCTGAACTACGCACTGTGACTCACAATCACAGCCACCAACATACACTTCCCATACAAAGTTTTATGGAAAATATAGTAATTACAAAGCTTGTGTCATGCTAAACTTATGCCTTATGAGATGCTCTTATATCTTGCATGTGACCCAAACACCAAATATATTAAGCCATATTTACGAGAACTAAAATTATATTCAAAACTGATACAAATATGACATACTAAATTATATATAAGAATTCTGAGAGAGAGAGAGTACATTTAAAACAATTAAAAAGAAGATGCGAGAGAAAGAATACAATTTTAGCAGTTTCTCAAATAATGTAAAAATATTAAATTACTCTATTAAATATTTTAAACTACTTTAAAAAATATTAATGACTCTTTATATTTTTAAATTAATTAATATTATGTTCATATCTTTTATTTTTTAATATGTGTCAACGGACACATCGTATCCTTTATTTTAATTGTGATCAAACATGGATCAGTTATGTTGTTATTAGCCATTAATAATATGTGAACATTGAACAAACAAATCAGAAGAATAACGCAAACAACGTTGACAATTTTTTCATTGGTACATAAAAAGCATCCATCCGTCGTATTTCAGAAAATGGTATAGATGGACAAATTCTGCCAAAACAAAAAACTATGAAAAAATGATGGATTTAATCAAAATATATTAATAATATAAAAACTTTTTATATTCTTATATTGTTATGTCAGTGGTATTTATTAACTTTTATAAATTTAAAAGTTTTATATATAAATATATATATACACACGTGTGTGTATGTGTGTATTGAATGTTGAATGATAATGTAGGAGTTTTAATACTGATAATATATTAAAAATTGAACTCCAAAACTATTTATCTCTTCTTTTATTCGCATATTCATCACATTTCAAGGAACAAAATAGCTCAGTTTAAATTATTGCTTCTTGTTTCATCATTTGGGTACCCTGTCTAACGAGGGCTTATTGTCTCCCTAAGAAACCTTAGCACTATATCCATGCTAGATTTAACAACAATTTCTTCATACAAATGCTCATAATTTTCTCCCCTTAATATAGCCATAAATACTTCTGTTGAATCAATTATATTCATTCCCCATTGAAGCTCATCATTTAGCCTACGAATCTTCATGAGTTGAATTTCAGCCAACTTGAATGTATTTTCCTTGGTTCTTTTAATAGCCTCTTGTAGCATTTTTCCTTTATAATCTTTATCATTCGTTTCTTTCTCAATAAGGATATATTCATCAAACTCAGGAACTCCAATGGCTCTTCTGATTCCACAAGAGTAATTTGCTCCAGGAACAAATGCTTCTCTAATCTCATCAACAAGCCCAGCATCCACCATTTCATCAACCCTTTTGTCTAGGTATTGAAACAACACTGGCAAAGAGACATGAAGCCAAATGAAGCAACATTCATATTTGGACCGAAATGCATTGTTGGGGTCCTCCACTAGTGCTTCTAAGTAATTGTTAGACCCTCCCACAATAATGGGTAAGTGCCCATTTTCAAGAATGAGATCAATGGCATCAAGTGCATGCTTACAAAACTCATCAACAGTGAAATTGTAATTAGGGTCATCAATGATATCTAGCAAGTGATGTGGAATGCCACAACGTTCTGACTTTGGTATTTTGTTCACAACAATGTCTAATCCTTTGTACACTTGAATTTTGTCAGAGTTAATGATTTCAGAGGAAAATTTGGTGCCTAAGCGGATGGAAAGTTTGGTTTTTCCAGTGCCGGTTGAGCCCATTATAAAGAGCACCTTCTTCTTGGCAAGGGTTGCAGAGCAAGGGAAAGCCATGTAGATTCTTTGTGTAAGATCTAAATTAAAATAAAACAAAATGGTTTATTTGCTTCAGTATATGATTTCGCTAAACTACACTTTTCATACTTTTTGATGTTTCGTTAAAATGGAATATGAAAATGACAACCCTTGAGTCAGCTCTATTATTTAAGTTACAAAATTTATTAAATTTTAAAATATTTATACAATAATATACTCTTATCTTATTTTTTATTAAAAAAATTATTTTAATTAAATAATATCTATGTTATGTATGAAAAACTCATTATTTATAAATAAAAATTAAATTAAATTAAAATTTAATTGCACAAAAGTAATACACAACTTAAGAAAAATTTTAAAAAATATTAAAAATGCTCTTGTTTAATAATATAAACTTAAATTTATAATAAAATTTATGTTGAAGCCATTATAGAACATATGATAGAAAAGACAAGGCAAAACAAAGAAACGTGTGGGTGACAAAAGAAGTCTAAATGCAATTCAATATATAAGAAGATTAAACTATGATGCATACATGAAATAACAAATGATTGTTATACATAAATAAATGACATAGAAGTTTTTTTTCTTACCTGCACAAAGATTTCAAACTTCAAATGTATGGAGAGGAAACAAAGAGAAGCAAATTAAAAGGACTACCTTTTATGGAATAAAGTTTGTCAAAGGAATTTCATGCAAAAAGATAAATCACCCAAAAAGTGATGAAGTCTTTTTGTTGCTCTTTACAATTAGCTTACCTGTAGGGATATTTATATGGCATTACTGTAGTCATGTCAGTAATGGAAGGTTTAATTTGACAATTAGTGTATTAAATGCTTCTAATTTAAACTATTTTTTAAACTGATAAGAGTATTAATTACCAAAATGAAACATTTTAAATAATTAAGTAACAAGTATTATTTTACCAAAAAATAATAAGTATTAAATAATTTTTTTATTTATTCACTATTTCAATAAGATAGATAATTGTGATGAGATAAGTATAATGTGAAAAAAAATCAAAATAAATAAACATATTAATTTTTTTTTAATTTACATATAATTATCTTAATCAATAGGTAAAAAAAATTAAAAAGAAAAGTACATTTATTTTATGCTGATGTTAATTAATATTTTTCTCTTTTTTTTCCATAATTTCTTATTTCAAAAATATAAAAAGTGTTTTATGATAAAAAAAAAAAAAGGAAACATTTTTATATTTTCTTAACCAATGACTTTTTAAAAATCAACTATCATTTACCTTATTTAAAATAATTTTGAAATATATTTTGGAAATTTTCTTTTATTCATTCATAGTTCGTGAATTCTGAATTTTCAGATCAAAGGTATTAATTTCTTGTCGGAACATGTTCACTAGACTATTCTTATATTGAATTCATTTTATTTTGTAATTTATTTATTTAAAACCGTTTCCAAAACTTGTTTAAGAGTAATAGAAGAGACTTAAATGATAGGTTTTAAAATGGAGATTTTGAAAAGCTAAAGCCTTTATAAATAGAATTCCCAATTCAATCTTTTGATTAAATAAAAGAGATAGAATTATAAAAGCAAAATCAAAATACCATAATTTATCTCATAAACCTAAGATTAAATTCAGTCTTTGACTAAAATGGAAAATATAATTACTATCCAATTTTGGTATTACACAGATTTAAATTTTACTACCTAATCTTGTACAAGTCTTTTTAAGCCCAAAAACTTAATATTATTATCAGGTCTTTGAAAACATCACACACCCAAAAGAATCTTTCCATAACTCTAAAAAATAATATCATCTGATAAGTCTGTAATTAGGCCTTCTTTTACAGCTCATATATTCATATTTGATCTTTATTTTATTTGGATTTTACACTAATTTATATATTAATTGTGCAGTTTGGTATAAAGAGACTGCAAGTGGATTTTAGGTGCATTCTAGGCCTAAATTGATAGAAGATTAGAGCTTCGCAGCAGTCAGCACGCCCAGACTCATTCAATAAGCACGGAAGTCCTTCGAGCCCATGCACAATCGTGCTTAAGGCCTTGCATGGCCGTGCTCATCTGCAAGAAACATATTTATAAAGAGTTTTTAGGGTTTTCAAATCCTATAAAAGGGAAGATCTGAGGCACCATTGGGGAACACTGTTTTTACATCTTGGCTTTGGCTCTAAAATACATCTGATCTCGTCTCTCTTGCACGGTATCCTTGGCACATGCTTGGCGATACTTGGAGCTTCAAGCGATCGTACTTGAAGACCGAGAACACATCTCACACTCTAGTTTGCTATTTCTTTTGGTTATGGCTTTGTTTATAATTGTTTTAGTTCTTTTCTTTAGCATGAGTAACTAAGTCCATAGCTAGAGCTATGAGAACTATTGCTCATGAATTTATGGAATTTTGATATTTGAATTTAAATTTGATTTTCATCTTGTGATTAGATTTTATCTTATTGCGCTTCTTTCTTAATCCTAATTAATTATATCGTCAAGCGACCGTACCTTGGTTAATTAATAGATCTATAAGGTAAAACGAGACAAAGGATTAGGTGGAGCAAACCAATCTTTCTCTTCTAATCGTTATTAAATTAACAAATTTGTAGGTTCCTAAAGCTTTCTTAAATTAATGTCTTGCATGACCATTGGGGATGTCAATTTAGAGAAAAGAATATTAATATTGCATGACTATTGGATATTAATAGTATTCGTATGAATGATTGGTAATCATAAGAAAATTGAATTTAGAGTTAAATAGAAAAATAACATAAAGGATTGAATGAGAAAACTCATATACCCTAGGTTCCTCTCCGATAAGTTTAACCAAGGCGTGCAGTGTATTCCTTGCTCTTAGTTTTATAATTGATTTTATAAATTCTTATTTTTAATCAATCTCGTATCTTTGAAGCTTAAACAATTGAATTAAGAAATTATTAGTAATTGAAAATCAATCCTTGTGGGGCGATATTTCAGAAACTTTTAAGAACCCTTTATTACTTCTTGATGGGTACACTTGCCCTTCGAACAAGTTTTTGGCGCCGTTGTTGGGGATTGCTTTTTCAATATTAAGAAAATCTCAAATTTAATTGATTTAAGCAATTTGTGTTTTATTTTATTTTGTTTTGTTTATTGTTAAATTTTTCTTTTATATTTTATAATTTTCGTTTTTATTTTATTATTTTTTTTTATTTTATAATTTCTTTTAATGTATGCTCACTCGTTAAAAGTGCTCTACAGTTTGTTTATTTGATCCAGAGATTGAAAGAACAGTTCGTAGACAAAGAAAAGAAGTGAGAGAGCAAAGAATGACAGAGGAAAGGAGATCGATCCAAGATTACATGACACCCACTGCTAGAGGCACTCCTAGAAGCATTGCGGCACCAAATGTGGAGGCCAACAATTTTGAATTGAAACCAGCACTTATAACTATGATCTAGAACACGATACAGTTTGGAGGCCTGCCTAATGAAGACCCCAATCTTTATCTGATAAAGTTTCTTCGATTGAAGGATACCATCAAGTACAATGGAGTCTTCAATGATGCTATTCGACTCCGTCTTTTCCCATTCTCGGTATCTGAAAAGGTGAATACTTGGTTCGCCTCACTCCCAGCTAACTCCATCAAAACTTGGGAGGATCTCACTCAACAATTCTTGGGAAAGTACTTTCCCCCATCAAGGTCCTCTAAGCTTATGACGGAGATATGTTACTTCCAACAACATGAAGCAGAATCCTTATTCGAGGCATGGGAGCGATTTGGAGAGCTTTTAAGGAGATGTTCTCATCATGATTTTCCAACGTGGAGATAGGTACAAATTTTTTACAGTGGCTTATCAATCATACCAGGGCTACAATTGATGCCGCAGCAGGAGGGTCCCTCATAGGAAAAGATCCAGATAATGCATACAAGCTAATAGATGAGATGACATCTTCTAGCTTTCAGTGGCACACCGCTGACTCTTACGACATTAAGAGGAAAGAGACCGCTCCGTTCTACCAAGCAGAGAGCAACAGCCCACTAATGAACCAAATGAAAGCCCTTGCAAAGCAACTAGAATCTTTAATGAAGGCTCAAGACCAACCTGTAAGAGCTCCTGCAAGCTCAGAATTTAAGCAAGAAGAGGTAAACTTCATGGGCAATCACAGTTTGGGGTGGAGGAGTAATCCTCCTAACTCTTGGGGGAATGGCTTTGGAAGTCAAAATTTAAGTGTTTATCGCCCTCCTCATGTGCAAAGTCAGGGAGCAAGACCTGAAGGAAAAGAAGCTCCTAGATCTCAGTCCAACTTTCAAGAACAGATGATGCAATATGTGAATTACTCTGATAAGAGGATAACAGAGCTTGAATCCAAGTTGGACCAACATATTGAGAGAACTGATAAGAGGTTCGCAGAGGTCAAATCTGAAATACAAGCCAGCTCCTCTAAGATGAGTGCACAATTGGAGCAACTTACGAATCTTTTGAGTCAAAGAGTGATGGAAACACTACCATCTTAACCTGAGCCTAATCCAAGGGAGCAATACAATGCCATTACTCTAAGAAGTGGGAAAAATTTGAATGGGACGCAAACACAAAAGTCATGCACGCCTGTGCTAAAGGAGGAGCACGCCCTTGCATCACCCTGCACGCCCACGCTGCCTGAAACAGAATGGTCGTGCTTAGAACAACACGCCCTTGCAGACAATGAAGGCACGGCTGTGCTAGACAGAAGCAAGGTCGCTCAACGAAGGCATGCCCGTGCTGGATGATGAGTAAGGCCGTGCTTACCACCCAGATGCGAAAAAGGAGACAAGAGAAGATGTACCAATGGTGACAAAATCGAAAGTTCTATTTCCACAACGATTGATGAGTAGCCAGAGAGACCCTCAGTTTAATAAGTTCCTTGGGATCCTCAGAAAGCTCCACATCAATATTCTTTTTGTTGAAGCCATATCACAGATGCCGAAATATGCTAAATTTCTCAAGGAGATGCTAAGCAACAAAAAGAAATTGGAAGAATTCGAGACAGTCAGATTGAATGAG